CGTGGTTTGAAATTGAAAAAGGCACGTGGCAGGATTGTGTCCTATCATTGTATTTACTCAGTCTGTATGCTGAAGATATAATCCCAGATGCCATTTTATATAAACAAGTCTGTGCTGTTGCGTTAGAGGAAGAGTAACATCCTACACATGCTGTAATATCTGGATGTCACAACCTTGCTTACTGAAAGGGGAGAGAACTTGAAGCACTTATTGAAGAAGGTCAAAAGTGACACCCTTTAGTATGGATTACACCTGAACTTGAAGAAGACAAAAATTCTTACAACTGGATCAATAAGCATCATTATGATAATTGAAGAAGTAATTAAGTTATTGATTATTCCATTCTACTTGGAACAATTAACATCCTTGAAAGCACCAGTTGAAAATCAAAGTATGTCCATCTTTGGAAAAATCTGATGTAAAAGATTTCTGTAAAGTTTTGAAAAACAGATTTTACTTTGATGACTAAGGAGTGCCTTTACTTTGACCTCGTCTGCATGTCAAAGTTGGATAATGGAAAAGGAACACCGAAGAATTGGTACATCTGAACTGTGGATGTTGTCAAAGAATGTTGAATATACCATAGATTGCCAAAAGAATAAATCTGTCTTGTAGACATACAGAGTGTCCCTGATAAGCAGATATGGTATGGCTTTGGCTGTGTCATCAGGAAAGAGAACTCCCTAGGAAAGAACAGCATGTTTAGTAAAGCAGAGGGCTGCTGAGACAGAGGAGCCTTCAGTGAGGTGTAGGGCCCCAGTAGCTGAAACAGTAGATTCAAACACACCAGTGATTGTAAAGTTGGCACAGGGCCAGACACTCTATCATTTCATTATACGGAAGGTCTCCAGGAGTCAGAGCTAATTTGATGACAACTAAAAACAACAATTTTTTATAAAAATTAATGCTTACATTTTAATGAGATAGTAGATTTATTTATGCCATCTTTAATTCTTTAAAATTAGTGTTATTCTAGCTTCATGTAATGAATTAGGCAATCACATTCTCCTTACGTTGTTGTTAAGTGCCATCAAGTCGTTTCTGGCTCAGAGCAATCCTGTATAGGGTTTCTAATGAGCAGCTCGTGGCTTTGAGCTACTGACCTTGTGGTTCGCAGTACAGTGCTGACCCACAGCACCACACCAGAAGAGTTACTAGAGAGCGATGGTGGTGGTGGTGGTGGTGTGCTGTTGAGTTGGTTCCGACTCAACAATCCTGTATGGAGTTTCCAGGACTGTAAATCTTTGTTGTTGTTGTTGTTAGGTGCCATCAAGTTGGTACCGACTCATAGCTTCCCTGTGCACAACAGAAAGAAACACTGCCTGGTCCTGGGCCAACCTCATAATTGTTGGAACACTTAAGCCCATTCAAGCTGCCACTTTAGAGGATCTTTACAGGAGCAGAAAGCCTCTTCTTTCTCCTACAGAGTAGCTGGTGGATTCAAACTGCTGACTTTGTGGTTAGCCCAACCTGTAACTACTACATGATCAGAGCTCTTCTGATGTAAAGATATTGTTAAGTGCCTTCGAGTTGATTCTGACTTATAGCGACCTTGTCGTCCAATGCTTATCTTACAGTGCCACATGTAACAATATAGAGTAGGAGTTACTGATTTCTTTATACCAGTAGTAGAATCACTGTGAAATTACCAGCCCTATGGAGCCTTGGTGTGGTGCTGTGGTTAAAGCACTGGACCACAAGGTCGGTTTGAACTGCAAGGTAGGCGGTTGAAACTTACCATCCAATTCTTGGAAACCCTATACATGATTGCTATGCATCAGAACCAACTCAACAGTACTTACCAACAATATGACAGTTAATATTTGGAAACTCAAAACTATTGATGATTTCTGGTGTCAGGTTTTATTTTTATTTATAGAAACTAGTAGGTGCTTTGTTGTTGTTAAGTGCTATCAAGTTGGTTCTGACTTACAGTGACCCTCTATAGGGTTTTCGGGGAGCAGCTGGTGGTTTGAAATGCCTATCTTGTGGTTTGCAATACAGTGCTGATGGTACAGTGCCACACCAGAAGTCCAATATATGCTTAAGATTTTAAAAAACAAATTTTGGGGGACCTGTGTGCTCTTGATTGTTCTTTCTAGATGTGCCAGCAGTAGAAAGCCTTGAGTATTCTTTACCAGAGCTATATCTCAGGGTTGTGTTTTCAGAAAGTAATTGTGAGGGAAAAGAAATAGTTTCTTTCAGGAAAAAAGTATATTTATTGCTTTCCAAAATTAAGAATGGTTTCCCAAGCTCAGCAACGATTGTTCTTCAACTGCAGCGTACAGCCATTTGTAGTGTTTGTCTAGGTCTATACTTTGCCACAACCCCGTATGGGATTTAGGAGCAAGCATGATCCTCATGGCACCACTCTCCTGTCAGTTTGTCGTACTATGGTGGGCTGTGATTCTGGAAGCTATGTTATGGATATTTTAAATAACAGCAGGGTTATCCATGGTGGATAGGTTTCAGATGAGCCTCCAGAAGACAGACTAGGAAGGAGTGATGAACTACTTCCAAATATTTAGTCACTGAAAACCTTATGAATAGCAGAGAAACACTGTCGGATATAATCCTAGAAGTTGAGCCGCTTAGGTGGAAAGCACTCAAAATAAGACTTGGAGAGAGTTGCCTTCTCAAAGTAGAGTTGACTGTGATGACATGAATGCAGTAAAGCCCTGGGGCCCTTCATTTGCTGATGGGGCACAACTCAAAATGAAAAGAAACAGCTGTAAACATCCATTAATAATTGGATCATGGAATGTACGAAGCACGAATCTAGGAAAATTGGAAATTGTCAAAATGAAATGGAACACATAAACATCAATATCCTAGGCATTAATGAGCTGAAATGGACAGGTCTTGGCCATTTTGAATCTAACAACCACATGGTTTACTGTGACAGCAATGACAAATTGAAGAGGAATGATGTTGAATTCATTATGAACAAAAACAAAAATATATCAAGATCTGTCATGAGCTGCAACTCTGCCTGTGATAGGATAATATCCGTGCACCTATAGGGAAGCCCAGTTAATACCACTATTACTCAAATGTATACACCAACCACTAAAGCCAGTGAGGATGAAATAGAAGAATTCTACCAACTTCTTCAATATGAAATTGATCAAACATGCAATCAAGATATATTGATAATCACTGACTATTGGAATGCAAAGGTTGGAAACGAAGAAGGAGCAGCAGTTGGAAAATATAGCTTTGGTGATAGAAATGATACTGGAGATTGAATGATAGAATTCTCCAAAACCAATGATTTGTTTATTTCAAATAACTCTTTTAAACAGCATAAGAGATGACTATAAACATGGACCTCACCAGATGGGATACACAGAAATCAAATTGACACTTGTGGAAGGAGACGGTGCAA